TGTAGTGCAACAAATACACATAACGGAAGCTGAAAACACACCTTTTTCTGTCAAGAGACTTGGCAGTCTTCCGACACCCTTCTTCCACTTGCAACATCTTGCAACGACCAACTCGCACAGCCGAGCACGGCCTCCAGTTCAGCCAATCTGCTTTGAAGCTGCTGGATGGCCTCAGCATCCCGCAGAGTGAGTGGATCCAAAGAAGCTTGTGCCTTCAGGGTGTCCATGCGCAAACCTCTTGGGGCGGGCGTTCCCAAAGTGTTTGTGGAGCGTAGCACCCTCTGCCGAGAAAAAACACTATCCTGGACTTGTTGCTTTGAACTAGTTTGGCACATCTGGCACTGATCCGAATCCCTCACGTTTGGTTCTTTTGAGATCTTTTTTCCGTCCAGCTTGAGTTGGGAGCATGGCCCGCCCGCTTCGGCTGTACGAGTATGAAGAAGTTGGAGCGCTGCCCATCTCGGGAGTTGGAGCCCCCTTGCGGCCACGGACGGGAACTGGAGCGCTTGAGCTACCACACCTCCGGCTCACACTGCTCGGGGATGGCCTAGAGCTGCGCCGCCGCGCGGGGCACGGCGCGTGCGATGGCGCGTTATTCGGCGCTTCGGCGGGTTCGCGTAGTGTCTCTTTGGAAGAAAACCAAACCAGCGGAAGATTGGATCAATCCTGTTAGCAATCCAATAACTCATCTGTCTGTGGGTCAAAACCGGGTATGTTGTTTGACCACACTACTAGGGAGGTCAACCTACCTGCATTTGGGGCTCTCTGTTTTGCCCCACAGCCATCTCAAGTTGGCAAAGAAACGATCTGCCGAAAACAAAGTGGGGTTGGCCCCTGTTGCAGGCGATACATCATCGCCATGTCATGCCCAAACCACCAAGGAAAAAAATCATCCACCCAATCACCAAGTGTTGATTTGTTTCTAAATATGTGGAAAAAACAAAGAACACTGACACATGACCATGTCATACCCAAACCACCAGGAAAAATCACCGAGTGTAGATTGGTTCCTAAATATGTGGAAAGAAAACAACAAAAAAACAGAGACACTGACAATATGCGGAACCTCTACCGCCTTCCATAGCATCAAGACGAAGCTCTAACAAGTTTTTGATGAAACTCTGCACGAATCCGATGCCGATGCGAGATCGCTGGCTCACGCCAAGACGATCGGAGACAAAAAAACCACCGCCATGGTGTGTTCTACTATCAGTCCGATTGAACTTCTGCTACTCCGTGCCGGATGCTTTCCTTCAGATACCGATTGCCGGATTCTGAAACCGGTTATGCCCACCTTTCCGTCGCCCTTCAGCCGACGGCCCGCCTGCAGCGGTTCTGCCAGGCCTGGCCCTCGGTCATCCAAAGACTTGGCCTGGTGAATTCGGTTGAGAGCCAGGTGAATTGGGCTCTCGAGGTTTGGCAAACCACCAACCACAATCCCGATCAAAACACCTGCTTCTTTTGAGTTTCGCATTCAAGCCCATGGTGGCCCCGAAATACCAAGCAACTTCCGAAACCAAAAGAACTTCCGAGGTGGAAATCTTCACAACGACACCCATGGTCATGTACACCTAAAAATAGTTCGATACTCCCCGGGACCTGGTGCCTGGGTCTAGGATGTGACACCATGAGATAAAATGGAAGAGCCAACCATCCCAGGCACTCCATGTATGCCATATTTGCCTACATTGGGGTGGTTTGGGGGGTCAATGTAGGCATATACGGCATACATGGAGCGTCTGGGCATAACTGAACATACCATGCCATTGAGAGCGAAACCCACGAACTCGACTCGACAACAAAAGCACTGCACCAAGGCAACAGCTGTACGTAAACGACTGCGTGTGAATCCACAGGTGCTGTATGATAGTTGCACAAGCGTAGTTGCACACGAGTAGGAACAAGTCGGGTTAAGCCACGTTTTGTCACTAGTTCAAGTATCTGCGTACTGCATTGAATGCCCAGCTGGGGTTTTGCTCTCTCTCTCTCTCTATATATATATACATACACCGTACATAGATTTGTTGCGCTGCTGAAACCAACGTTTGGGCATCTGGGGAGATCCCGAACGGCATGTTCCAAACGCCCCGGATGGTTCTTTGGGCGATGTCATGACCAGAGCCACGAGTGTGGTGTCCTTCCGAGAGATATTCCGATTCTCGAGCCACGAGCAACTCGGTTTCTTATGACCCTTGGTTTCATGGCCTTGTCTTCACAGCACACTTTTGCCTGGTTCCTCCTCCAACTGGCATCTCCTCGTAGCGGCAGGGTAGTTCCAACTTTGACAAACTCTCTGCTGTACCAGCCCATACCTTCAAACGCCTTCAAAACCTGGTTTCGCCAAGGCATGTGGCTACCGAGAGCTTGGCTTTGGTGGAACAACTGATTCTATCAACTTGAAATCCTGGTTCCACATGCAGTCTTTTTCCTCAACCAAGCAAGACCTGGGCGCTGAAGCAAAGAACCCGAAGAACTGAAAGAACCCTGTTGCAACTCATGTGGGGACAAACATACGCAACATGTACACCAGCCACACCAGCGATGTACACCAGCCACCACACCCCATACCTTCCAAACACCCTTCCGCGAAAGAAAACCACCCTCCAGCCACCTCAGCGGCCACCTTGTTGCAGTTGAGATCGGCCACCTCAGAGGCTAAGGAAGGAAGACTGAAGAAAGACATGGCTCCCCTGCTTGATGACAGGAAGCTTTGGACCATGATGGACCATGTGTTAGGTGGTTCTACGTGGTCCCCAAAAAGGAGGTCATTCAAGTTGTTTAAGGACAACAACAAGGACCCTACTTGTAGGCTCCTGTCCCATATCCTTAGAAGTGCCCCAAGAGAGCACCCAACCCAGTCATCACCGAAACGAATAGAAAGGCCAGAAGCCCAAAAAGGTACCAAGTACTCGGGATAGTTCCTTACTCCTTTCAACAAAGAAACCATGCCCCGCCTGTGGCTGAATGATGCTCAATGTTACGTTGATGGCATCTAAAGGAAGGAGTCGGAGTGTCTCTGAATTTGGGTTCACTTCATCAAGCCCTTCAGGTTTGGGATACGAAAGGTTCCCAAAGAAGCAGAACTTCAGCTGTCTGGCTCAACATGGCTCAACTTCAGCTGTCTGCATGTCATGAATCGCTGTTTCCCTTGTCCAAGCAATTTCAAGAAAACACACCAAGCTCCGCGCTGCTTGTTGCAGCTGGTGGAAACTCATCAAAGTCTCCCCCTGCAGCACTTCCATCTGTCGCTTCACCTCCTCAAACGCCCAGCACGGTGTAGGACAACCCACGGTAGGTTAGCATGTGTTCCAACCCCTCGGGCCAAGGACCACATCAGTGTGACTATGCATTCTAATAGGGAGACCCCCAGTTCGACCCTCTGGAAGACGATCGGGGGTCACTGCATTAAAATACACACCTCGGACCTCGGACATGCAAACGCGAAGGACATGCGGTGAAAGTCCAAGTTCTACTCGATCCTCAAAGAAGGTGAATCCAGTCAGATTGAGGAAAAGGCCTCTTTCCAGGTGGTGGACCCCTCCAAAAAGAACGATAGAAGTGGGACATGTGACATATGTGACATATGGCTGGGATATCTGGTTGGTGCTCTCAAGTTGTGTGTTAGACTACTCCTCAACCAAGCATCTAACTATAACCGACCCACCCACCCACCCACCCACCCACCAACCCAATAATGCCAAGTGCATTTCCCTCAACAAATCCATAAGGACATCCGAATTTCTCCGAGCTGCTGCAATCTCTTTGGCAGAGGAAGCATCCCTTGGCCCCGCGGGTGGCGGCTCCGTGAAGGTCTCTGAACACCCCAGACTCCCCAGATCACTCCATGTGAGGGACCGATCCCTTCATATGAGGCTTCGGGAGCAGTCTTGGGCAATTTTTGAGTTAGACGCTTCTCCTTGAGCCACATCCATCAAACAGAGGGTGAAACGAGTTTTCTTCTCACGGTGGCTCGTGTGGATCAACTGGCTCTTGGATGCTCTTGGCATTTTGCCTGCTACTCATGTCCCGTGCTAGTTTACATTGGTGACTGCACTCAGGTCAGCGTCTGGGTAGCACACAGGTCAGTGTTCGGAACAGCATCTCTTCAATGTGTTTTCCAGGTCCAAGCGGAAGCGCTTCCGGACAGCTTGACCCGAGACCCCCCAAAATGGCTATCCCCGCACCAACTGATGTGGACTGTTGATAAAACATGAAAAACACTTATGAAAAGCAAGATCTACAGTATACAATCATGTGTTTAATTGTGTTGTTTAAATCAACATATAACATACCATTCTACATTAAGGCTCCAAAGCGATTCTGAACTGCTGTGACTCCCCATCCTGCCGAAAGGCTCAACGTGCAAGCACCCGTCGGTGGAGCTCTTCGACGAATTGCAGCACATTTTCCGCCAGAAGCTTTGCGCCTTGCAGGATGCCCCGGCATCCCGGATCGCTTCCGTGCCATGGCGTAGATGTAGAAGGCTGATTCATAAATGCATACCTCCTAGACTTGGATTCAAAATGATTCAATAACCTCTTCATAGAGGCGGGGGTGAATCAACAGTCTAATTGCATTCTACGTCCACATCCTAAGAACATCCATAACAGATCTTTTCCAGTTCGAGGTGTTTGGTCCCAACACCCATGGCAATTCCAACGAGCATGAACAACCATCACATGAAAAACAACTTAAAATGTTGTTTCCTAACAAGAATCATATATAGTTGTTGCTTTGTTTCCAAACATCAAACATCTATATTCTATATGTTCCTGTTCCCAACTATGGGGGTAACCCTATGGGGGGGAGACCCAGTGTGAATACTACGTCTTTTTTGGGTTGCCTGCTCTTCTCAGAATTCAATAGGGGAACCTCCGGCACGGGGCACGGAACGAGGGTCTGGCCTATCTCCGTTTGGAAGGTGGTTGAGGTGGGTTAGCAGGGTCTGGCAACCTGCTGAGGAGGTGCTTGGAGCCTCAAGGTATATAGAACATTATAGAACCTCTTCCCCACTTCAAGTACCTCAAAAGTCCCCATAAGCATTCGATGAAACCTGGGAAAATCCCCAAGTCCTAAAAGTATCCGGTATCGAACATGTAACATGTACCGGATCCCGAGCTGTAGATCCCTGGAAAAGAAAGGTCTACCGAACTGTCCACAGAAACCAATTCCTCAAGAAAGGTTCGGCAGGGTTATCCACTGCCCTTGACGGGTAGATACAATTTACATAGTTGATCTCTCCCACGTCCGGCCTTCTTTGCTGGAGGGTCGCTCGGAGGCATGGCGCCTGGCCGGAACGCAACGGAAAAAATCGAATGAAAGGAGGTGTCCTCTGAAAAGGGGTTGATCTGTGCCCTTGCGAACGAAGAAATACGTTTGTTTCATTAAGTTTGTTGCATTGTTGAGGTCAGGACCCTCTGAAACACAGAAATGTTTCTTACTGTTCACTGCTAACGTCGAAGATGGTTTCTATGAGGGATCACAAAAGGTTTGCAAAGAGGATAAACTACAACCAAGACACTATAGCCTATAGCTATAAAGAAGTAACATCTTAATGGAAAGAAATACACGAATCAAATCAACTCCTGGATGAAATCTTTATATGTCACCCACAGTCCACAAGCACAATCACGCATGATTTGGGTGCTTAAACCATGTTATGACTCTCCCTCTTCAGCTACCATGGAGGAACAAATGGACCCTGAGAAGACACGAGTGGTCCATCCTCCTAGGAAAGGAAAACCCAGATTCCCTTAAAAACAAAAAAACTAAGCATCGGCAGTGGCTCAAAGAATCCAAGACCGCTCCAAGACACGCAGTTTTTGGACGAAGTTGTCATTGACACAGGGGGTATCACACCAAAAAACATTATATGAGCACAACTTACAAAGCATTTCTATAGTACTGTGCACAAAAGTACACAATATAACACATGGAATATGACTATACGTGACTACTATATATTATGTGTATTACACAAAATTACACGATATTATAAACGATTACACACGGGAAAATATCTTAAACATATACAGGATATTTGATATTGACATTATATTACAGAAACTCACACCATATGCAGTCCCATGACAATCTTTATGTCTTTCTTGAGTCGCAAATTGCTCCAACATGGATCCCCCGTTTCGTCTGCTTCACTGTTCCGAGTCGGTCCTGTGAGAGGATGGGATTCTGGGTGTTAACATGTGTCAAGCAAACTTTTGTACAAAGTTGTTGTTTTGATTAATGAGCAAATTGACTGCCATACGGCAGCTTTGTGTCAAAACACAGAACGCTCTGGGCCTCCCTTGTTTTCCCAACCCTTCGAAAGGCATGCGACTACCCCAAAAGACCAGAAACACATCGGAGACCGGGCAATGCCTGGCATGTGCTGCCAAGCTCACTCCAAGCTTTGGACCTGGGAAATCAAGGCCGCAGCAAGAGGAATCGTCTTGTTTTCGATGGTTTCTTCATTGTAGAACCACAAGTCTTTGAATAACTTTGTGATTGTGGGTAGTACTACTGAACAATGCTACTACTGCTACTACTACTACTACCACCACCACCAATGTGGATTATATATGGGCGGATATTAAATAGACTTGTGAGACATGCTTTACAGTGGATGTGGATATCGTGGGCTATGAAGTGGTGCAAAATGGTGTCCATGACATTCCATGACGAGTATCCGATTTCTGAGCTGTCAATACCCAAAAAACTCCATGTACAAACCTACATTGATCCCAAATCAAGCACCCCGGGTCGGGCGTTCAATTCGGCAGTTCCACATGTTCCACCGGTCGTATTTGGGGGTCTCGCCCTTCCCAAACTCCCGGACCAAGCGGCTGGAGGGGCGCTCAAGAGCCTCCTTCAGCCTGAGACGGCTTCTTCGACGGCTCCAGATCCAATCATCACCCAAGGCATGTGACCCATGGTGGCCCCTGAAAGGGTCTTCCGGAAGGTCCTTCGATGTCGCTGGTTTCTGCCCCCCCCCCGACTTAAAACATGCCGAATCCGGTCGACCCAAAGTCCCTGGGCGGAGGGGAGGGTTGTCCGGCAACAGAGGTTGAAGAACCCCCTCCTAGGGATCCAGTCGTACGGTGATTGGAGACATTCTTATGTAGGTGCCAGGAGGGTCCAATAGGTACTTGGATTCCTAGGGCCCAAAAGGTCCCAAAGAAACTATCCCATAGGTACCCCAGATGACGGGTCCTTTGTCAGGTCGCAATCAACTGGAGGGATCGGTTCTTGGCTTCACAGAGCGTCCGGATGGTTGGGTTGAGTCAGTGCTGGATACAGGACGATGACGAGGATGATGCTTTGGGGAAGGTGACGCTGCAAATGCCAAAGGTCTTGCAACCAGCCAGGCTTTACAGTGCAAAGCACTCAAGCTCTCATTCAAGTCCCGTTGGTTCAGACCTGTTTTTTTTCACTGGCCCTTGTTCTAACAGTCTTTCGGCTTGCAACATGCGGTGCAACCGGTACCTCCCATGTCGGATGGTGGAGTACTTGCCTTCCGGAGGATACCCAGACGTTTCTGAAGCCCTGCGCATGCCAAGAGGCTTCTGAGTCATCTCCGACAAGGCCTCCCGGTACCTCTGGCGGTTCGCAGGTTCGGGTTCCGGAGGCGTTCGATCGAGCGAAGCGGCGAACAAAGGTCGAGTGCCGAAGATCAAAGAAGTTGAAGTATACTAGGATGATGTCTTTGAGCTCGTCCCATTCATGCGGCGAGGATCTGTTTCTACGTGCCTTATCACTCTTGTGACCACTCCTTATCAGATTGCATATGACATGTTTGGTGTTCTGTTCTGATTCTGTATTTATACATGCTTCTCGAGGTCGTTCATCAAAAAGCATGAGCTATGCATGACCAGGAGTGTTGATCATTCGGGTACAACGTGTAAAGACTACTTAAGCACGCCATTGGAAGCAACATGTAGGCAATTCCAGGATCAACATCCCCCCAGGAGTGCTTTGCATTGGTTCCCACGTCTTCGTCCGACCTCTAAGGGTCTGTCATGACAACCTCTGATGACCGTCACCATCACCTCCAGCTCCCGAGCTACAGGAAGTCAAGTGACGTGAGGAGCAAGGTCTCCATGATCCGCTGCTGCTTCTTCAGCTGTTGGATCTCCATTTGACAAATCTCCGGCGTCCACCTCAAAACACACGCGCAAGCTCTGGCGGCCATCAGAGAGGTGAGGGTTGTGCTGGTGAGTCTGACTTGAAAGGGCCCCGACAATTACAAACCTGGGGTAGCTATGGATGCCGAGAAAAAGGGTTCTGAAATTTATGTTGGGGGAGCTTTTGAGGCACTGGATTCAAGCATCTCCGGGTGGTTTTGGTGGAGTTCAAGGAGCATGCAGGCTGGTCTGAGTCGGAAAGTGCACCATGAGAATCAAAGGAAGCAGTTGTTGCGTCTTGAAGATTGGGACTTCGACTTCCTGGTCATTCTGACAGTATGGACGGAAGGCCCATGGATTGTGTGGAGCACGGTCAAAAAGGAGGGGAGATGGTGGTGGGAAGAAACATGAAGAAACTAGATTCGTCGCCCTTCCTTGAAACATCTTGAAACCATCGAGTTGAGGATTTCTCCGGACAAATGGCCTCAACGAACAGTTCCACAGAATCAGCCAATTGGGTGAACATCACCATCGTCACCTTCTCATCACCATCGTCCCATCACGCCGGCCCGGGGCGGCCGATCCGGAGCCCGTCACAGCGTTCGTTCCGGTGGAGCCTGGAAGGCCAGGGATGCGACTCCAAGTGCAACCTCGCACGCGCCGCGCGCGAGCGCGGAGAGTCCGGCACAGGACCCAGTCAGGCAGGGCTAGCGGTACTACCGGTACTACCTCTGTTTTCGGTGAAGGTGGGCCAGGGATGGGGGTGTGCCAGTGCCAGGGGGTCTGTGCCCACCAAAACTGAGGACCTAAGGATGTGGGACAGGAACCCTATAGCGGACTATCATATCACCCAAACCAGGCAACCAATGTGACCTAATATGGTGACGCAGGTGAACTTGTGTAAAGGGTTGGAATGTGCAGGGAACTATATCCACATTGGACGTTGGAGTCCTGCATAATTCCTCACCAACTTGGATTTCTAAGCTCCACAAAAGAATCAAACCTCTGGTGGAAGAACAACTATATAGTTATATATATATATATGATATAGCTGTCAATCACACAAATGGTTAACGTTCCGTGGGCCACACACTACGCCAGTCATGGTCGCAACCTGGCCAATAAGGAACATCCAATCAACAAGCAGTTTCATGCATGGAGCTTAATTACTGTGTCTGTATATCTCACAGTTGTATGTTGTTCCCATCCACCACTGGCTACACTTTTCTTTGTATCTCCCACTAAAAGAGACGCCGAGCTGCTTGGTCAACCGACCCATACGTCGAGCCAAGCTGCTTGATGCTTTGCACCTCCCTGTGAACATCGCCCAGGATGGCGGACTCGCCACCTGATGGAGCGAACGAAACAATTCGTTGTGCTGCGATGAATCCATCCTAAATGCTGGATATGTATATAATTGTTTATAACAAATATATATATATATATAGGAGATAGTAGGTAATCATGACCTAGATTCACCTGGGAAAATCACAAACATGTATAAATGACGTCATATATTGTCATATATGTATTTGCGCCTCAAGAAAGGGATGGCTGCATGGGTATAGAAACACCTCGGCCCCCTATCTGATGAGCGTCTCTCAAGATGGTGAAAACGACTCGCAGCCGGATAGCATCTGTCTTCAGATTAACAACTTAAATATTATATATATAGAGACCCTATAGAAAGCAACTGTTGCTTTTGTCTTGTGTTTCTTTCCTGCAAGGAATACAGCTCGGAAGCTGTTTAATGCCCAAATGGTCTTAAAATCAAAGCCGCACATGGCTGTACGTTGCTGTGCGTCCTCCCGGAGCTTGGGGATACATGATTTGACACAACCAAAAGAGGGTCGCAGGGCCAATCGGTCTATCTCGGTGTTGGTTCATCGATCCCCTCGCACCAAACCTGGAGGGAAGCGCTATGGAGTGGTATGGAATAGACATCTCCCTGTAGATCGAACTAGCCGTGATCAATCAGAGAGTCAACAAGAACAGCAAGCCACAGATCCACAGAGGTGTAGGCCACCCCCAAAAATGAGTCCATCGGCCCTTCCCCCCCCCATTGGGCTTAACCCACAAATTCCGCACATCCAGGACCTTCCAACAGGTGGTTTTTGGACACCTCTTAACCTCTAAGAGGCTATTTATAGGCACCTCTTGGAAGGTCCTGGATGTGTGAAAAAAAACATCACGACCAATCGGGGACTCCCCTCCTCTTCCGACGCCTATCTTCAGGTTCAAGTGGCTGACCGCCGAAGGCGGCTGCTCCGGCCCCTCGCTTTGGCCCTGGGCCGGTCGAACGAGATTCAGACACTCCTTGTGACTGGAACTGACTATACCCTATCGCTCCAGCTAAGTTCGGAGAAGGTGGGCCAGGGGTGGGTGCCAGGGGTGTGTAACTCCCTTCTGAGGATATGGGACCTGAAAATATGCCTACATTCTAACTTCATTTGGGGTGGCTTCAGGGATCAAAATAGCAGATTAAGTATACAGGCATGTATTACATACGGCGAACTGATCATATCCCGGACCTTACCTACATTGACAAGTTGTCAACCACCCCAATGTATGTACATATTGCCTCTCCCATAGATCTTCTCCACTTAAAAGGCTAAGAACCAGGATTCACAAAGGGGTGCTTTTTAGTCCCCAAGTGAGTGCTTTTAGTGACACCCCCATCTTCCAAGTTCGGCACCCCCTTTGTGACTCCTGGAATACTTCAAACACAGGCAGCTGCAGGCTGACTGGGGTCATTCCCTTTTCCTTTTGGCCACACCGATGCGTCGATTGCGTCGATTCTCGACCCCGTGCCCGGCGCTGCGGACCCTGCGGACTCCCCGGACCGCGACCAAAAACCGGGCAAATGGGCGGTGATTTTGTGTGCCAAATGGTGAAGGATTGTTCGGATGAAGACTGTAGCTGGCTCGCGGATTCTCCAATGACCAAAGGGACTGACAATTATAAGGCCAGGGCCTTTGGTAAAGGTTGATTGATTGACAATCACACACATTTTGAGCGCGTTTGGTTCCGTCTTGAGTTCCCTCCTGTGCCACCTCCTGTTGTTCGGGCTTGAAACGAACCGACACATTGCCATCAGATCCCATCGTCTTGGACATCCAGGATCCGAACGTTTGTATCACATAAACTTCACCAAGAAAGCTTGAAAAGCCTTTTTGGATCCTTACTTATGGTACCCTTTGGTGACTATAGGCTTTTTGGGGCTTTTAAAAAACCTCTCCAGCTACTTCACCCCGCAACCCTTTGCACCTGGTTGGTTGGAATCCCCAGCAGTCACCCATGGCAAATTATAGGATGAATGAGGTCTTCCTCCACCTGGTTCACACGCGAGGCTCCGCCCCCTCCGCAGCGCGGCGGCTCGGCTGGTCGACCGCTCTTCAGGCCTGTTGAAGGCGGGCCACCTCACGCCAAAGGGCTTTCATATCGCCTAGGGTGGCCTCCCAGGACGGTGAACAGAAGCGAATCACTTCGATGGAACGATGGCGGCGAAGCACGACCCGAGAGAGACGAGTGGAGCGCTGCAGAGCGGAGGATGATCTATGCCGATCTAGATTTGGATGCGAAGGATGAGGGCACCCCCCCAACAGGCCAAGATGAAGGGTATACTTTCTGGTCAGAACTTGGAGGTTGAAGGCCTGGTGATGTGCTTCGACAAGAGTCTGACAAGCTCATCAAGCCAAGGCAGCTAACACCATTTTCACACTGGAAAGCACCAAATCAACCATGGTCTTCCTTGAGTGAGGTTGAGCTCTTTTGAGTGCCACACTCTGTTGTTTCCACTCCTCGACCCGACCTGGCTCGATCCTGTTTCCACCAATGATTTGCCTCACATGGCATCAATCACACTGTGATCCTGACATATCCTTACATTCTCCTCGCAGAAAGTCCTCAGTGCTGGATCTATTACTCGCATCATCTCTTTCAGACTCACACCCACCCATTTGATCTCAAGCTCTTCAAATACACCCTCCACCGGCGTTTCTTCACCCGCCACAGTCACCTCCAGGGCCAGCAAACCCCAACCAACTGCGACCAAAGTCCCGCACGACACATTGGCACCGTGCGAGCCCTGGGCGTCCCAGCGTTGAAGGAGCCTTTGCTCTCGCGCAACATCTCCTGCATCGCCTGGTGAGACCTCTGAAGCTCCTGACGCCGTCGTCCGTGACGAACACGCATCCTCCGTGACGAACACGGAGCCATCGGACACGGTACCCCCATTGAGTGAGTCAGCGTGGGGCATGTGACCAAGGCACAGTGAATTGGCCTGGTGGATCAGGTTTGGGTATGGTCTGGGCGGTTTGGGTGGAGAAAAGCACCAGGATTGTCCCATTCAAACAGCCTGAAGAGCACCTGCTGTTCAAGAAAGGATCATTACGGACCGACCATCCCTCTTGTCTGAACCCAGCAAAAATCAAACATCACTACACCAAATGATGGAATAAGTGGAACACATGTAAAACGAAGAGTGCACTCATACTGATACCAAATTCCAACCGTTTCCAACCCCCTAGGCTCTTATAGACTTGTTTTCTCAATCTACTTCCAAGCCCCGTGGGACGGTGCTCATTCGAGCATTCTTTTTCGGCATCAGCGAATGGGCATCAGCTCTGCTCAGTTTCGAGCAGCGAATTGCTTCAGTGCAAAGACGGCGGCAGCAACAGCAGTCATCCAAGATCTATAATAATATAATATCCCTGATTCTTCTTGCAGATCTTGCAGTGACTTTATTCAATGTATGTGATTCATGATATCCTGGTTTGGAAATCACCAACAGGCCGGTACAAAGATGTACAAAGTCACTGGGAACTCCAAAGTGCGGTGAACTGAAGAACCTGGTGGATGGCTGAAAGTGTCAAACGGTTCGTACAACAGTACATGTTTCCAACCAATTCTTAAGCAACCATGGGCGGCCAGCACGAAAAGCATCAGCTGCGTCCAAACTGTTCCGGTCCGACCGCGATCCGCGTTCCAGCTCCGTTTTCCAAGGTCCCGGTTCCGGGCTGAGTCGCCCTGTGACTTCTTTCACACTCCCAATTCCCACCTCCTCCTTGATTAGTGCATTCCGTTCCTCCCAACACACCCATGTTGTCTCAGGACATGCCGTTCGTGACCTGGAACTGTCCCTGTGACCCTTTGAACCTATCAAATCAGGTCTAAGTGACCAAAGATCCTGGGATCTCAAGGAGGTTTACCAACTGAAGGTCCTGGTCCTTTGGCTTATGCCCAACCATTTTGCTTGAAGCGTTCTGATGTGAGCATCAATTTCTTTGGCTTATGCCATGTATGCCTCTCATGATGTAGTGAAATGCTCACTTTCGTGTGCTGCCATCCTAAGGTGACACAACGCATTCCATGGGTGCAAACGGGGCATCTCTGTGTGGCGAAGGGTCTCTTCAGCTTGCCATCTTCAGAATCTCTCAGAAAACGACTCATCGACATATGTTCCACCCGCAACAATAAGATTGAATCGCTTGATAAAGAACCATCCAGAAAACAAAACAAACATATTTAAAAAAATAAATAATACCCACCCAGAAAACAAAAAACAACCAAAAACACTTGATTGAGTTCAATCAAAAAAACACGCCCCAAATCTACTACTTAGCTCGGACTCATTGGCTTTTTGGCCTGTGGCTTCGCTGGTACTCTGCACTCTCCACGAAAAGCCATCCCTTCGCCACGCCATGCCTTGACCCCTCAAAAAAACCCATCAGACTCTACTCCATGGAGGATGGGCGCATGTGGCCGCGCAAATCTGGCGGATGCCGCAGGCCAAGGGTGTGCCAAAAGAGCGGCTGTTGATTGGTGACTTCTCACATAGGCCTGACATCTCTATGTTCATAATGGTCAATGGTCAGAAATTGTGGTCGGAAACATTGGATTGCCATTCGCAACACCAGTAGCAAGCCCTCCAAACTGCAACAGAAGAGGTGTGAAGCGTCAGCTACCATACAGTACGCTGGGGTTGTTCAGTCTTCACTAACTGACAAAGGATCAGTGACTAGTGGTTCCTTCAGCCATTCAAAACAACACTTGGACAATGCGGTGGTTTCTTAGTTGGGAGGACCAGGACGGGGTCAATGCCCCCCGCAGACACCCCAGGAACCCCACGCGGCACGCACGTGCGAACGCGAAGGAGCCGAAGCCTCGGAGCATCTGGATCCGATCCAGCCATTTCATCGTGTGACTACAGTATTTGATACTACTTCAAGAACCCTAAAGTTTACGCTTGGAGTAGGTTGTCTTCTGTTTTGTCACGGTCTACACCCAGTCCGCTCATCCCCCGAAAGATAGAGCAGGGGTGGAGTGGCAGGGTATCTCTTCGAACCCTCAGCAAAACCCCCTTACCATCACCACTCTTCCCATCCGTTGGCCTTACTGAGCCGCGGCGGGCGCTGCTGGCGGTGCGGAAGCCGCGGCGGTCTGTGCCTTCTGCGCCACCTGGGACGGAATACTTGAAAGGAGTAGCTCACCAGTGGGGATTTTCAACCACTGCCCCTAGGGATCCAGTCGTACCTTCTCAGGGGTGGGTGCCAGGGTCCAGGCACCTTCTGAGAAGGTACGACTGGATCCCTAGGGATCGTCTTCATGGTTTTCGGCTTTATAGCTCACCCAGACCGCTCCGTGTTTCCACGTCCTTTCCCGGTCCCTCAAAACCGATTGGTGCGACCCCAGATTATGAGAGTCCAGGGTCGCGTCTGGGTAGCTGGATTTTTGAGTGGTTTCTTGTATAATATAGTAATACCCAAGCTAGATTTGCTTGTTGGTTAGCGTTTGGTAATTTGATGTATATACAGTAATTTCTATATTCTTCATCCAGCTAAAGGTCGATGAAATAATACTTGGAACTTGGAACTCCCTTTTTCTTTTCTGCATCTACATCGTATACATACCCAGAACCCAAACATGACCTCCTTCTTGATAGGAAGTTGGGAAATATTTTGGATAGTCGCTCACAAATAGAGGTCACTCAGGTTCCGGGTATAGTAAAACCATTTCTGTTCACAAAATCCGACCATGCGTCAACCTCTTGCTGAAACTCCGTTCCGAGACATGCTTGCGACAGAAGTATGACCAATTACGACTCCAGCTGAAGGACTTGGTGAAGATCCGAGACATCATGTTATGCTATAGGCTATAGTCTATATAATATATCAATATATATATATGCTTGGATATGAGATGCTTGCTACGCTCGACCCTCGTCGTCGTCATTTTTTTTCGTGCTGCAACTCACACGTCTTCGATGCTCGCTCCCCGCACCGGCAAGAAGAGCTTGAACTCGGGTGGGAGCTCCTCCTCGCTGTAGAGGCGATCGCTGAAGTAGATGCGGCGGATGCCTAAAGATCGTGGATTCGCCGCGTTCGCTCGCGGATGACTCGGTCGGTCGGTCGCGAGCAACGAGAGGGGCGACCACCAACTTACCCCTTGGGACTTAGCTTCCGGATCTGTAGAAAACACAACATATCAGAATTTAGTGCAAGAAAACACATGACACAGTAACAGTAGACAACATGCAGTGTGTCGTGGATATGGAAATGTCATAAGGCTGAAGAGGCTACAAGATGTTTCATAGAACAGCTAATAGTGGCTATGGATGAGCATGCAGTTTGATTCTGTGGCTTGTAAGACTCCAATGGATTCCCTGTCATCCTTCACTTGATCGAAACCCATGGCAACCTGCCTCCCTGCCTCAACGAGAGGGAAAGCGACCCACGTGAAGCGACTCGCCACCGGCCAACCCCATCCGTCCTCACCCGTCGCGCCAACCCGGCCAAGCTGCGGCAATTGGCATGGAGCTGCACGCGCAAAGTCTCGATATAGTTTGTTCCTGAGGTGTCGAAGGTGTCGAAGGTGTGGATGAAGCGGGTGCCAGAACCCTTGGAGGTGTAGATAGATCATTACCATGGCTGGAGGCTTTTCTGCAGATAGATGGTCACTTATAGTACAGGATAGAAACAAGGATGAACTGGAAGGATGAACCTTGATGACATAATATAGTTTATATATCATATATCATTGTATCATTATATATGGTTCCAGCCAAACATGACTTCCTTTTTGATAGGAAGTTGGGATAGTTGATCCTCCAAACTAGGGGTCACTCAGGTGGTATATGACACAACAATTAAGCACAGCACGCTACCTGACACAGAAAAGCTGGAGCCCAATTCCCCATCAGTCCCAAGCCATGAGAAAAACAGAATGAATTCACCGGTCGCCCCAACACAGAACCATGACCTGCATGAGTCGACCACCATGAACCGCATGAGTCGAAGGGATTCGATGGGTACTTCAGTAGCTGTTGTTCAGGTCATGAGGGCTCCCATTTTCAAGGACACGAACTGGAGGGTCGCCTGGAGAGTGAAGGGCTTTGATTTCTCTGAGGAGCTTCACTTCAACTGCTGGGCAACATGCATAATAAAAGCCCAACACAAGCCGAATCTCCCTGCAGCCACTCCCCCGCTTCACCCAGCAAAGTATCCATAGGCACGCCGCGTGAAATCCGACAGGTTGAACTGGATCCTGGGTGGCGAATGGATCCTTGGATTCCCTTTAACCCTCCAACACTGCCGCCAGCTTGTAGTGTCTTTCGGGGTGGAAGTGGTCAAGGGATTTGGGTTCACTAGTTCCATGCCAAAACCACACCGGCCGGCCATACATTTAGAAGGTGCGATTTTGTCAACCCAAGCAAGCTTCACTAGACACGTTCCCTTCAAAATTGATTGGCCATGCGTGTTCGAGACTCAAATGATTTACAGACCAAAATGTGCTCTACGGCTGCCTCTTGATGTGTTCCATTTCAGGATATGGCAGGCAAGTCTTTCCTGGTCAACCACTCTTTTGTACTGTTCAATTGGTTTAGCAACCTTTTGGAAGGGCAGCATCGCCGCAGGTTCTTCTGCGTCCTGTAGATGGGCGAACCCTAATAGATGCTTGTGGTGGATCCCTCTCCAGGCGCTTCCTGCCCCGAATTCTGCCCAAGCGTCTGGTTCCAACCTGGCAAAAAGACAAGATCTGAGATGATGTGAGTGGCTTTGCTTGGGTCCTGCCAATATTTTGGAAAGCTTGACATACGCTTTGTTTAATCCAAGAAGAGCGTATATAAGTCCGATCCAAAGTAGCAAACATTGAGGAACCGCATACATTTTGTAGACCCTCCACTATCAGCTGCTAAGATGAATCTGCTTGAACAGAATGCATTTTGCACTCTAATGCGCTCTCAAAACAATCAGAATCAGGGCTGACAAGGGAAATGGCACTCTGAGAAATGACTAGCTCTACTTTGAGTCATCGTTCCAATACCTGAGCCCATCCCTTGAAGTAAAACCACTATCTGGAGGGCCTGAGGAGTGACAGTTAGCTCATGGATTTGCTGTGGGGTGTCATTGATGTTGTTCTCTCATGGGAGAATCTTCAAGCCAAACGAAGGAGATCGGTGTGTCCCATCATGTCCCCTATGTCCTCACTCCCGAGTTGCGATGGGACCCCTATACTCATGAGGCGCCTGCCTCTTTCCAAACACCCTCAACGATCCCGTTTGGGGAGGAAATCGCCAGCGGCCAACAGGTTTCACCCTGGTCGAACGTGTTTCCTTGCCTCAGCACCGCAACGGGGGGTAGGGCGCTGGCTCTATTGGGGTGAAAGCACCGACACACGAAGACAAAGATGTTCAACAAACCAGTTGAATTCGTTTGGCCCAGCGGCCCCAAACAACGTTTCATCTCTAATTACAATGAAACAGGCCACTGGAAACGTCGAGTTATCACTGGAAGTGATACTCCCGCTCGTTTAAGTAACTATCCTTCCAAACTTCCAAACCCGACACGAGAGTTCCGTGGCAGCGGAGGCGCTTCCACACACAACAGTCCCAGGGCCTTCATCCAAGCGCATGGGCATGGTGCAAATGAAGGGCTTCACCCTGGCAATGGCCAACGCAATGAAAACGCTCCACATTTGGTTTCCTGCAACTAAAAATGAACCGACTAGAATATTCTTATGACGTTCTCAAGACCAACTGGAAGTCTTCTTCTCCGTCTTCTCCACTTCCAAACATCAGTTGAATTCGCTCTCAGCTCGATTCAAGGCTGCAAACCTTGCTAGCTGGACCCGACTGACACAGCACCTTAGAAAATGGGACATGACACGGGTTAGATTCTACCATATTCTACCCATTGGAACCGCGGGAACCGGGTCGACTTCAGATAGAACGACCGTACTCTCCTTGTCCCCCCAAGCATACGTCCCAAAAAGGAAGTGGCCATACCTTCATACCGGCGCAAGGCGCATCGGCTCCGCCACGATGTCGGCGATTCCGGCGCCACCCGATGCGGGAATCGATGGTTCCCTCCGGGAGTGCGTCTGTTTTGGGCCACCTGTCACTGTGATGTGTCTTTGTGGGGAAACCAAGCCTCCAAAGCAAAACGGTGATCAGTCTTTCGTGCTTCTCTTTTTTCCACCGAATTCGAGTGCATCAACGTTTCCCCTGGCGACCAGGTGACCACTCCTCACGCCTGGTGGTGCTCTGGTAGTTGGACGCACGGAAGCGTCGGCGGACCTCCTTGTCGTCCAGAACGGTGACCTGGAAAAAAAGAAAGCAAAAAACCTGGAACATAGATTTATTGGAGAAAAACAATGGAAAACAATAGAAACCACATTAATGGACATACATATATACATGTTTTTGTTTGCACATATAATGTGGGTGTGTATTTCAATCGGGAGATCCCCGGATTGCCTCTAAAAAGATTGTTTGACTGGTCTATTTCCCGAAACCAGGTCGGTCTCCCTAAATACTAGTACACACGACCATGTGGAGGAATTGTCTTTCGTTTCACTTTTGGCATGGCAAATGGAGCTGCCATTTGTGTTGATAGAGTTAAGAGGATCTTAGGAGGGACTTCAGTGTCTATATACATGAGGCTCGGCAGGTGACCGTGTAACAAAGCTTGTGAGAAACCGAGCTCGTCAAATTGATAGGTCCATTGATTTGGAGGTCTCGGTCCATCGATTTGGAAGCCTGTGTGATTGTTTTGTCCTGATTTGAATGGACTGTTCACCTGGCAGCTCCCCTAAGACAGTCCACCGCCATGCAGGTCGAGAATCAACTCCCATCATCCTGACATTCGAGTCTCAGCCTGCTCCCTTCCTCACCTCGAAGGTGAAGTACTTCTTCAAGTTCTTGATGATCATTACCTCAAGCCGATGGTGACTAGGGCGGAAGAGAGAAACCCAAACATCATGACATGCTGCCCACGGCCAGCGGATAGGCGATAGGCTGCTTTTCAATCCCAAAGATCACAAAACGGGTTCAGCTGGCGCCAACCACTGCCGTGGCCGGTGGGGTCCGGGCTGGAATGCATCCGCATGTGAATAATCAATAATCTCTTTGCGTCCGGTTCCTGAATGTCAACGTGGGAAAAGCATGACCCATCTAGCTGCTAGCTCATTCAGCGCGGTCAGCATGAGCACCAAAAGCCGCCCCAGCCCTTGGAGACCGATGGTTTCCCTTTACTGGGCCCCAAAGCAGCCCAAAGAAGTGCCTGGAAGAGCTAAAACCCGTTCCAATCCACTCAAGGACTTGCAAATCAAAAATCGCACAATGTGAGATCCAAAATAGGGAATCATTTTGGAAGAGCTTTAAGTTCTTTTAGCATGGGTCCAAACCTGGAGCCCGACCAGACCACCATGTAGCGAAGCAATCGAAGGACACTTGGACACCACCAAGTTTCCAAAGAGTTTTTTTAGTAGTTGACTCTTAGGTCACCAAGCGGACGACCAAAAGAAGGAAACCTTTAAGTACTATAGTCTTCCAAAGAGTACAAGACATCACCAATAGACAACCCTATAGTCTTAAATGTCTCCATTGGACACTCATTGGAAGCGCGTATGTATGTCCAGGGTTGGTATCACAGATCACGACCAACGAGCTCGTTGTTAACTATCTTGGTGGTGTCCACGAACGTGATCGCCAAATATAGAACTGGACACTCCACTGCCAGCCATATGAAATCTGGTGACAAGATTCGACAAAATAGTGGAACCTTCCAAAATTGGCAAAGCAAATAACAAAAACCATGGGCGGTTGACTGACAGATACATAGAACAGCAAATGGTTGTTCAAGTTATATAAATGTTCGTCCCAGTGTCAGTGCCAGTTCGTCCCAGTGCCGCTCCAACTCTTCAACTCATCTCCTCTTTCGGTTTGGTGGAACTGGAGTGCTGACTTTGCTGACTTTCCCCCTTGGCCCTTGGAGGATCCTCATCAGGGTCACAGGATGAGTATACGTGATGCCGCCCAGGGTGCCAAGAAGGGTAGCTTGATGCCCAAGGTCTTCGCGGAATCTGCTGGGCACGTGATGTAGGTGGTGCTCACGTTGGTGCCCATGATCTCCTCAGGAGCGGCAAAAACCTCAAACTCTTGGATTTGTTGTCGAAGCCGTGAGATCCTAGAGCCTTCACCAGAAGGGGGTTGACCCATAGGGTAAATCAAGAATCACATTACCCTAGGGCTCCAACCACCTCCTGAGAAGGTGGTTGGGGTGGGTTTGGGGGGTCTAACCATCTTCTGAGGATAATGTTGGAGCCCTAGGGTTAAGCAATAACAAAGGAACTTCGTTGCTGTCAAGATTGGATATTTTTGCTGTGGGAAGAGGGGAGCAAAGCATCAGCATGCATACGCAGCAAAGGAGCTATCATCAAAGATCCAGTCAACTTCTTGCACCCTCCTTGACTACAGTATATGGTATTAGGAAAATGGTCATCCAGTCAGGGCCCAAAGGGATCATATTCCATGTCCAAGATGATTTCGAGTGTAATTACAAGTAGAGTAACACCCTTCTGAGTCACCTCAGTTTGACTGCGAAAGACTGAAAGACCTGTGAAAGTCTGAACTCGAGTTTAGCATTTCAGCATAGTCTCTATGTTGCATGCCATACACATCTTAGGATTGCCTCCTCTTGGGTTCATCCCAAGAAACTGATAAGAGAAACTGATGAGTAAAATTGGTTGAAACACAACACCACCGAACTCTGGATGTTGCACTGTGGATGTTGCTTGTTTTGATCGCACTGGCAATTGGAGATAGGCATGATGGGTGCAGCATAATCCGCAAATCACAGCATGTTCTGTGGATCTAGGATGCGAAGATCAAATTGAAAAAATACAAGCATTAACAACATGTTGATCTAAGATTGAATCCGTTTGCTTGTCATAATCAGCTGATCAAATGCTGTTTGCATTGGACCTAGTATGTGTCATCCAATTGAATGACACCCAACAAAATGATAGCAAATGCAAATGCTAAGATCTTCGGCTCTAGGCGACCTCTTTGATCAACGGTGTCGACCAAAAAAAGAGCTGACCCACATTGACACGCACAATTTTTTGAGGAATATCTGTGAAATGAGTGGGAAACAGCTCTCAATCTTGGGGCACTCCTAGGATTTTCCTGACCAACATGAACCGCTGCGTGCGGAAACTGCGAGTGCGTAAGACGAGACCAACGGGAACCGCGGGAGGTGTGGAGGACCGTGAACCGTGCTGCTGGGCACGTTCAATCTTTCAGATAGTCCATAGAAGAAGTCCTGCACCGACTGAAGCCCCTCAAAGAAACAGTACTGTACCAATATAGTGGAAGACTTTCTATCTGAGGTCCTGGATTTCTTGTGACAGGTCAAACATGAGCTTGAGTGTGAGCCCTCGCGAGCGACTCGAAGGTTCTTAGAGATGGTTCAAACAGCTTCTGCCGCCTGGACAAGCATCACCCAACGGGATGTTTTTGCCGAACGTGAGACCCCAAAGCAGCTAGCAACGACTCAGGATGGTTATTACATGTTATATACATCTCTCAAGCTTTCTAAAGCAACATGATCTTGGCCTTGAAGGTTTTTGATGAACATTCCATCCCGACAAAAGACTATTGATTGTTTTTTGTTAATTTTTTTTCGCCATGTGAAACATGATCGATCTCTCTATCAGATCACCTCATCTTGCCCTCGACGCACCACGCCAAGGGTCCAACACGCTGGACTGGATATCCGAATCCGTTAGGCGCTTGATGTGGCCATTCCGCACCTGTGCGAGGAAAGAATGCTGGACATCATGAGTCTATAGGGTCCTTAAATGTAAAAACGGGGTCTATGGGGTCTAAAGTGTCACAAAAAAACAAAAAAACTATTTCATTGGGTCTTTAATGTAACCATGAGTTCAATGCAACAATACTTATATGTGATGACTCTACTAGCGGAAAGTGCAGGGTGACCACTACTGCATATACAATGGGCATCAACGGGTTGCCTTTAGGCTTCAACATGTTCTACGGATAACACATCCCAACGCATGCACCCCTTGCACGGTTGCCCCCTGCGACGGACCTTCTTGTCCCAGATCTGCAAAGGCTTACTGCCGATGGAGTAAAGGATGGAAAGGAAGCCCGACTGGTAGGTGTTTTTGAACCTGAGTCGTCGTGCGTCTCAGACGGGTCCGGTCATGTCTGTCACACAGGATGCGAAGAAGAATGGGCTGCCTGTTGGGCTGCATGGAATGTTGCAGTCTGTGCAGAAAATACATGTGAACACATCTGGATGCTTCTGGGGGGAATTATAGTACGGTAGTCAATAAAGGTTCAAGTCATGTCTAAGCTGTGTTCCCGCCGCAAACCAGAGTCAATGTCACTGTCTGAGTGTGGCCCACGACCATTAGGACCATTGAGGTAGGCAAAAACAAACAGTTCCCCGTGAGATAGTGATAGTCTTATCGATCGATCACGAGCATGAGGCTATAGTTGTCATTGAAGCTATGTGCAAGCTAAGTCACCACCAGCTATTTGCAAGGCTCCTGTATCAAGCACTACTTAACGTGATCAAAAAGAGTACGAGGGTTAGTTGGATCTCCTCCATCAATAAAGAATACTCCCGACATCACTCCGTATAGATCTACGGAGTATTGTTTAGGACCCTTCATGATGACCCAATATAATATTAATCATCAAACAAACACATGAATCATGTTGAAACATGTTGAAAGAGGACCTTTTTCACCACCTTAATAGAGTCAGAAACAGAAAACACGCACACAATCACACACACACACACACCTTCTGTGGCACCTTGCCGCCCACTTCTGCGATCTCACACGTCCAAAAAGGATCGAACATGATCGAACATGGTCTTCCCAAGCTCCCCGGCATCGCAAAAGTGGAGACTCACAGGCTTCGATGCCGGCGACAAACGTCGCGCGAAGCGTTCGTAGCGTTCGTTGTCCGTCCAAAGGGGAGCGGCTGCAGAAGAGACGTGGAAGAGACGGCTCGGAACGGCATGTAGGTGATCGTGTGAACCGAAGACCATGAGCAAATGGATCTATATACAGATTCAGAGAAGCAATGAGGAATTGATACATGCAGAAACTATAATGCCCCTTCAGCAAGGCCTGCCTTTCAGCTATCGAAATAGCAAACTAACTATGGTCGCGAAGCCAGTGCATGTCATCAACCCTCATTTATGAACCATCCGAAAACCACACATGGGGTTGAAATAAACTATAAACATTAATCTCCCAGGCTGTGAAAAAAAACAGTACAACAAAACACGAGACCGTCGGCCTGCCTAATCACCAACTTCCACAACTCGCCACACAACGACCACCAGATCCCGCGACGACTGGGGCAGTGAGAAAACGCGACAGCGACAGCCGGAGAAAAGGCAACTTTGTGTGGGACAGTGAAAGTCAAGCCAAAACATCAGAACAAAAAAGTACAACCACAATCAACCACCCACACAAGGAAAAAAGAAACACTCTGCCCTCCTCCAGCTGCCGCTGAAACGTCAGGCCTGCCACGCGTGAAACGTCGTTTTCGGTCGTTTTGGGTCGTTTGTGGTCAGCGCATGTCAAACCCGGTCACGCCATGGCCGGCCACTCCGAAGAAACGATCGTCGAAGGACCCAAGCCAAGAGACCTACCAGGAGTCACATGGAGGCCAGGGTTGGTGGTGGTGTTTACTCGTCCCATCCAGGGGACTGTGGATCATGACCACCCCAAACCGAAACATGGATAGCACTCCGAGCTCTGTGACTGCTGGTAGAGAAGTCTCTCTGACAGTTTATGGAAAAAACGGGCGGAAGACATCTGTTGGAGCAACGGAGGGTACTGAGGCAGGGGCACGCCTTGTGCTCAAAAAGAAGCTCGGAATCATGCAGGATCGAACGGTAGATCGGTAGAAACCCAGTGGACTGGTCAGCACAAACCAGGTGACGCACATAAAAAGAAGGACTCCATCAGGCAACAGAATAAGGTGCCAGCACGATCTTGCTGGCATTCGTGCTCACTTCTGGGACACAGAAACTGTGTTCTTTCATGCGCGCAATGCCTAAGCCCATGAAAGAACATTCGGTGACCTACCATCAATGACCTTGAGCTGGTGAACTCCAGGTGTCCACTCTGCAGAAACAGGAACCCTCGACTGGACACTGGCGGTTGGTGTCCAGGGGTCTTTCCAATCTACTAACGTTCATGAACAGGTGTATAGACCCTCAGAAACGTGGGCAGCAAGTAAACATACTGCATACTTTATTCATCCTGCAACCTGGCCTGCCCTTTCAATGGACCTTGACTGTTCAGTCATGCCCCATCCAAGAACTTGTACCTGCACCTCTTGAGTGTTTCGAAGGGTTCCAGGGTTCCAGGCCTAGGTGTTGTCTGGATATATCTGGATATCTTTCATGTTGATTTCAACGTGAATCAGCCAACGCCTGACACCTGGCCAAACCAGCTGCCTTTGGTTCCGGTACACCAGGAACCCAGCTTGGCTGGAGTCTCTGACCAAACCTTGAGGTGGAGTCTCTGACCTCCTTGGCTGCCTTGTTTCTTGATCCCATTTGGATTCCTACCTCCATGTCGAAGGTTGGCGCAAAGATCTGTGAAACACCCCACCCCAAGCCCCCCTGAGCCAAAAAAACAATCAAAAAGGAGGTCGCTGGAGCCCAGCTATGTGGACTCTTGATTGGATTGAACCCGCCCCATTTGGATTGAAACACCTCTCATACGGAGGTTGTTCAACATCACCCACTCGCTGGGCCTGGCTCTGGACGCCACTGGCTCACCTCCGCCGAAAGACCAACGCTTTGGGGCTCGGGGGTGATGGGATCGGTTGCTGGGCTGGTGATCGCGGTGATGATGGTGGTGGTGGTGGTGGTGCTGGTGGTGAAGATGGTGGTGATAGAGGTTGACTAACTACTAACCAGGTTTAGTTTAGAATTGCAGGTCCAGGTCCGGAGTTCTAGAGGTGTAGCGGTGGAGAGAGATGTGGTGGAGAGAGATGTGTACAGATCGAAAGATGTAGAGAGCGCACACATGAAAGGACGTGTAAAATCACACCCATGAGAGCACACACACGCACACACACTGGGGAATGAGAGCGCACATATATAAGAGAGCACATAAGGGCACCACACATATGAGAGCACATGAGGGCACCACTGCGTCTCCCATGAAATCTGTCTCCCGGTTCACTGCCGCGCCGACGGTCTCGCCCCTCCGGTGGAATCCTAACGCCGCCTAGGCGGACCCCTCTCATCACTGGGCGGCTCAGTTCTTTAAAACACACACCGCGTGTTATATAGTGTCTGCGTGTTCGCCACGTTTGGGGTGCGTTTGGGCGCTGTGGTTTGCTGAGTGCTTTTTGTTGGCACGTGATTATATAATATATATAGTATAGTGGTTACTTGCTGTCAGTATCTGTATCTCAATTGCGTGATGCTGGTAAACGCAACCATGCGTCTGCCATGCCACAAACATCAACTTGTGGGGTCGCATTCATGTACGACATCAACACCAGGCCCTGCCCGTCAATGTTGTATAAATCTTATCAATGAGTTTTCGGGACTGCAAACATGCATTTGCCTTGGAGTGTCCTTTCTGTTCCCAGATACGTTTGGCTTGGAGTCTGGCGCAAGCGGTGGGTGGTCCCGGCCCCCTGGGCCTTGTCAGGATGCGACCAAACAAAAGCTTTTAAGAGCAGAGCTAGCGAGGTTGGAGGGACCTTTGCGCGCACGACCGCAATGTCACAGGGCAAAAGCTCCACCGGTGGTGGATTTGTACAACTCCATGGTTCCCACCATTCTACCTACAGGCCTCTGTTTACATAGCACCACTGCGTGTTCGATGCACCTGCGTGTTTAAAAATACCTTTAAGATCCTTTAAGTGTTTTAAGCCCCTGCGTGTTCCAAAACATGCGCGTTTTATCAACTCGCCTGGGCGTCGCTTGTCAGACTCAGCCTTGGCCGGGGGGGGGTCGCCGCTGCCAGTGCTGATAGCGTTTCTTCCACTCAGCAGCTGCCTTCTTCCGAGCGGCGTCCCACGACCACCCCCGGTTCCAGAACTTGTGGCACGAGCAATGCTTGGAGGAGTTCTGATGCTGCTCCACGCCTAATTGGCCATTCTTCCAGGCTCCACAAATTGGATGGCAGCGTCAGCCTTTGGAGGGCTGCGGAACTATAGCTCTCGGCATCTGAGTCTCCTGATTGGCCGCGATCTGTCCCGAGATGGACACCATAGTCTTCCACAAATGACCAGTGACCATATCTTAAATACATAACGAACATCCATTCCCCTACACCCTACACCTCCAAGTACCCCCTCAGAAGGTATTTGGACCCTCCAAACCCACCCCAAACACCTTCTCAGAAGGTACTTGGAGGCCTAGGGTTAATGATTGAGACATCAACCTCATTACGCCAGTCCCACCCCCCACCCCCGGTATGAACCATAGTTGATGAACAAATCCACCCGTCACAACAGTTGCGCGAACCATACCAGGCGCTCCCACACACAAGGTGGGGCTGTCTTGATCCCATGCAGTTGGTTTTATCATGATTTATCTACACAACAACTGTTAACAATAATTGTCTGATACCAGGACCCTGCAAGGGGTGCCCAATGGAAGCCTATAGGTAGTGTGGGGTAGTCCATTGCACATTCCTTGGAGGGTCCTGGTATAGTCTGTATAGTCATGTATAGTCATATTTCACTACATTGGAGTGCAATGTCCTCTGATAAGCCACCGATCGCAGTTCCTCTCCATCCACGGACTCGCGCCTCGCTGGTCGGCGAGTGTCCTAGGCCGGTAGCACCGGTCACCGGGACAGGTCTGTTCCGTTGTTCGGCTGAATCCATGGGCTTGGTGATGTCCATGCTCCGGGAAGGTCCAACCATTTGGATATCTATAGGTACCGTAACATTCCTAATATATATATATATACCAGGGGCCCGAACCAAAGCCATGAAAACCGAAGGTTTTCACCTACAAACAAAAACCCTGGTTTTGAGCTCGGGACAATGAGGGTCTTTGGATGGATGGTGGGGGCCCCTGGTAAGTCTTATCCCTCGGAATCCTAAGAACTCGAAAGGGCCAAGGATTGACGCTGAAGGTGTCCGAGTCCAAGGATTCGTTCACTCAGCCTCCAGTTGGTGCGGGTTGGTGCGCGAGAAACACCAGGAAGTTCTCGGATCGGATGAAGTCTCGGGTGGGGGTCCTTGGGGTCCTTCACTGTTCCTTCACTTCCTTTAGGGTTAAGAACTACTCTAAACTCAAACACTTCATGACTCCATGATACTCCATGCATATCTTCAGGTGTATTTACCTAGATTGGGTGGCTTCAGTGTTTCAGGTCCCAGGGTCAATCTACTATATGGAATTATCATATATGATCCCATATATAATCCCTATGATTCCAAGTACCATTGCCGAACCATCAGCTGTATTACTCGGCCTTGACGAAGAATGGGGCCGAACGGAAGGCGAAGGCGAACGGGTATGACGGGAGGCTGCGCGAGGCTGCGCGACCCGTTCCAGCCTCCCCGGTCGGGTGAAGGCGGCCCTTTTTTCCACGAGGTCCGAGCCGGTGAATCCGGCATTTTCAGAGCCCACCGAGGCAAATCCGAATGGCATGGAGTTCGGTACTGCAACCACTTAGTTCTACAGAAGCAAAGCCAGGATTGGTACAACAGTTCCCACTTGATGAGAACACTAGGGATTCACACTGCCCTGAGATCTATATATGATAGTTATATACCAATAACTATGAATGGAAGGGATCATACATGGTTAGCCTTGTAGTGTGCTGATCCACTGCCACAGCCGCCCGTCATTTCGGCGGTGTCTGCTGTCATTCTCAGCGGAACTCCACCGGCACCTGGCGAGCAGCTGAGCACCGTCGCGTAGCGAAGGAGATCGGTGGTAGCAAGTGTTCATCACCAGGAGTCACATGGAGTTGGGTGGTGTGGTGTTTAGTCCCATCCAGTGAGTGGATCATGACCACCCCAAACCGAAACCTCCATTAAGCACCCCTTTGTGACTGCTGGCATTTAATTTATGTTATATTTCTTGTATTAAAAATCAACTCCTTTATACTTGGAAGCTCCTGATAGCTCCTAGCAATAAAGAAGGTTCTTTTGTCCTTCTTGCTTGACCCTCAGCTGAAAGGTAATTTTGTCCTTTGCACAACCACGGGCCGATACTCATGCTGACGACGGAGTTCGGCACTGCGACTGGCGACGGAGTTCGACGAAACGTCGTGCTTCAACGGTTCGGACGGCGGATTCGGTGAATGAAGCACACGGCTGGTGTGTGTCTTCCTTCCCAGGGTGTGTCTTAAAATAGGGAGACTTCCCAACAACGACCCCGGCACGAAGCAGGGAAATAGACACAAAGACATTGGGCCAGAGGGTCTCCCTATCAAAGGGTCTCCCTATGCCTCGGTGAAGCTTTCGTATCGACGTGACTCGTGTGACTCTAAAGACTTGCGAACATTTGCAATATGGCACACTTCCCCACCAAACACACCGAAACTCAGAAGGTACGACTGGACGCCCCAAACCTACATAACATGGCAGTGTCTCCAATCACATTCTCAGAGGGTATGTGGATCCCTAGCAATTGATAAGCTCCCTAGTCATCCAGTTGCTAAACTCCTCAAGACTTAGTCTTTGGGAGACCCTCTCCACTCCACTCCACTCGACTCCACTCCACTCCACTCCACCCCACCATCCAGGCAAACACTCACCACTAGCTCCTGCTACTCCACCCGGTGGAACATCCACCCAGCAGCAACTTGCGCACCTCCACCTCTTCTTTCTGCTCCACCTTCGGCGGTTTCAGGGTCTCCGCCAGCGGCACTAGTTGAGGAAAGCGCTCACAGAAGGGCAGCAGCAGCTCGCCTTGCAAAGCTGCGGTGACGTACCCGGCGGGAAGGTTTTACGGTTTATCTGACGGCAGCTGTACAGAACATGTTCACTTCCCACGGCAGCTTGCTTGGTACCGAGGAGGGGCTCGAGGAGGATCCAGAGGATCATGAACCACTGGCCTGCTTGCTCCTTCAGCGTGAAGGGCGTGCCCATGTAGTAGCAGCCGACCTGCAGATACATATGACAGCCGAAGTTGGCACCGGAGCTGCTTGCATTGCTTCGGTGCCAAACTGAAACACGAGGGGTCTTGGCACAGGAGTGTCTAGCCAAATGCACTCTAGAGTGCAGTCACCAATGCAAACTAGCATGGCAATGAATAACAGGTGTTTTATGCCCAAGAGCTACACAAGCCACCGTGAGAAGAACACTCGTTTCACCATCTGTTTTGCATGGATGTGGCTCAAGGAGAAACGTCGCTCACTTGCCCCATACCGCTCCAGAAGCCTCATATGGAGGGATCTGGAGAGTTTGGGGTCGAATCGGTCGAGGGGTCGGGACCAGTGGGACTGTGAACCTCTACCCTTTCAGCGTTTAAGCTACATCCATTTCCCAGACACTCCATGGGACTGGCATAGGACTGCCGCCCCATTGACCCCTGGAACCACCCCAGATCGGCAGTCCTATGGCAGTCCCATGGAGTGTCTGGGTTTGAGTTTTTGTTTAGGCTTAACTCCTGAGAACATCGGTTGTCCCAGGCTGGGAGCTGGGGATCTTTAGAGGGGACGTTCTACACTCCAACTTGTTTTCACATCGGTTTGTAGAAAAAACACCACGGTTTGTAAAGGTTCAATGAACGAAATAGTAGTATATAAAGTCTTCCATGGGACCGGGGGAAAAAGGCACGTGTGAGGAAGATCAAAGCTCCCTGAACCATGTCGGGAAAAAGTAAAAACCAAATAAGAAACATTAAAAAACCGAAAAAGTAAACCAAATAAGACACATATATAGAAACATTAAACACCCATGGCACAAGAACCTGTGAAACGAAACCACGGCTGAAACCCAACACGTCCTGAAAACCCAGGTCTCATGGCTTGGAACGGGACCGAGGTGCACTGGCCAAAGCACCCCAGAAGGCTAAGGTGCCCGGAATGCGCCACCGTGCCTGAGAACCGGAGGCAGAAGGTGTCCGACTCTGAAGAGGTTGTTCCAAGCGAACATGCACAGAATAGACTACCTGGTTGACCCGTCACAGCCTACCGTGGTTTTGACCCACAGCCACATTGACGCCAGGACCAGGACTTGCCAGCAAATTCTGTTTCAAAAGATACGATGCGGTCCTGTGGTTGTGGCGGCCTCATAGAAGCCTTGAGGCCCCAAACCTTGGGGCCCTCAAACATATCGAACCTCCTTTCAAACGGAGTACTCAGAGCTTCATACTTACTCGATCAGCAAGCTGCCCCCACTTCAAAACAACTTCGCAGCAATCGCTTGGGTGTACTACATTCATATTCAGCTATTTAGAGGGCAAGTTCACGAATCTGTGAAGGATGTGGAATTCTCAGTGCAGTGACCCCCAAAAAAGGACCATGCTCTTTCAGTACTCGATACCTTTGCTTGGTCCTTGGTCGCCTTGAAGACCTCGCCTGCCAGGGATACCCCAACTGGCCAGCCAAGGGCCCAAGGGGCACCACCTTGGGCAGCCTGGTGCTGCAACAAAAGCACCAAAAAGATCTTGTAATGAAACAAGTGGGTCAACGCAACAAGATGCACCCCTTTAACACCCGTTGACTTGCGAAAACATCTGAGGTGCTTTCCAACAGCGACCTCTTTGAACCCCACATCATCCCCCTGGCGCCAAGAGGCATAGAGCAACACCTGGCGATCCAAATCCGTGTGGCTGTACTGTGCTCCCCTTCTGCGCGCCACGAGGCTGCAAGCCTCCGACTCCGACAGGGGTCCAAGGGCAACTTGTTGTTCATAAGACTTTGGGATCAATTGAACCACTGATGGGATAGGATCAATTGAACCCACTTCCCGAACAATCCATCCCTCCAAAACGGTCTCCTGCCCCCCCCCTCGTTTCGGTTCGGTGGTTGGGGTGGTAGGTGGTTTGCGGGGGGTCTGGGCCTCATACCGCAACTCCGGACATGTATGGAATATGGGAGTGTCTTAGACTAGGAAGACCCCTCAAAGACATCTGGGATAATGAGAAAAGATAGATTAATCAGTACCAGGACCTTCCCAGAGGTGTCTACAAATGGCCTCTTAGAGATTAAGAGTGTCTTAGAGAGTATCCAAAAACCACCTGTTGGAAGTTGGAAGGTCCTGGTATAAATCCATTGGTTGGTAGGGCCCTCTTAAAATACAAACCTATCAGTTGGGGTGGGCCATTTCAGTCCCAGGTAGTGCATGTTGCAGGTTGAAAACGCTTTTCCCAAACAAAAGCAACATCAAATAAATCCTCTCCTTGTTTGTTTGTTTGTTTGCTTGCTTGCTTGTTTGTTTGAGTGTTTGTTTGTTTGTTTGTTAAGACACTCCCATTGGCGACATGAATAATGCTACTACAGCTGATGTGGTCGTTCGCCCAGCTTCAGCCAGCTACAGTGAGACGGTCCGAGGGGGAATTCAAACAAAACCGCGAGGTGGGAGGCTTAGATGATCGTTTGCTAGCTGGTTGTTAAACAAGAACAAATCCACGAGGTCCCGAAGCTGTCCTGAGAGAAAATGAAGAGACCTCCACCAAAGTATAGCCAATTCTCATCGAGGAACAGCTTCCTGAGAGCAGCGGAGGGATAGCTTGCTGAGCGACTGCGACTGCTTTGCCTATTTCTTGACACAAAGCGACCGGAGGACAAGCTGTGGTCATCCTGAAGGAAAAGGCCGTTGGCAATTGGTTTGACACAATAATTTTTGGATGTTCAACTTATTAGTCCTTGTCAGTCGGAGCCCAACATGAAGCTGAATGAGGTGAATTGAAGGGTGCACAGGGACACACTTTGTTCGTCGTTTGATGGGGCAAAAAAGCGCGGCGAAGTGGGAAAGGAAACAGTAAAGCGCTGGATGCTTTGGCGAATTCACTGTTGTCACCTTCCAATGCCCTCAGTTCATCTCAAACAATGGCAGAACTCTGGCCTGGGGTGTCATGTAGAATGAGTCAATGCGAAGCAACTGTCAGTCTCATCCATGATGGATGATGGTCCCCATGGTTCCAATAAAAACAACATCTTTTCTTACTCTTTATACACGGTATCAGTACTATATATAGTACAAGAAAACCCTAGAGTGAATGCTTAGCCATGTCCACTGCATACAACACACACAGTACAATATAATATAGTAGCATGTAGTTGCTCTGCGGCCCTTCCTTCCAATGAGATCCTGTGATCTTGCCATCTCATCCCCTTCGCAACCAACTGCCTCGCAAGGGTCTGGGTCCGTGGGTAGCGGTAATGCTCCGCCATGGCGGAAGTGCCACCGCCCGCAGCAGGCCGGCGCAGCAAGGCGTGGCAGTAGGGTGGGTTCAACGCAGATGAACTCGAATGAACATCTGGGGCTTCAAGAAATATGTTGATCAGGATTCAGGATCAATTCTTCGACTAGGTCATCTTCAAGAACGTTTTGAATGGGATCTGACGAACTCGACTTGGGTCCGTCCACCAACACGTGGACGACTGTGCGTGAGGATGCGATCCCCGCAGTGCTGTGTTGCATATTGAGTGGGTTGACCATGGTCGACTGGAACACTTTCAGCAGAGTTCCTACATAGGATCAATATGGATCAATGGTGAGTGCCTTTAGGCAAGCCTGTGGGAATTCAAGTCGCAACTTGCTGCTCACAGCAGTTGTTCTGGGCCTACCATACCATACCAATGGAACTTAATTCTCATCTTTCTCTTCTAAGAGATCTGGAGCATACAGGGATTTGGGAGCCAAGATTTGGAGCCAGGTGAGGCTTGTCACAGGCGTTTCACCAAGAGTCCAGGTTCAATGCTCCTCATCTTGTATATCGACCCCAAAATAGATAGAAAAGTCGATTCCCATTAAACATGTATTGGACACCGTTTCTATCACTCTCTATTTGGGGACCACCATACAAATACTATCAAATACTGAAATGACCTTGAAACGTTCGATGTGCGAACAAACAACATGAAGCTAAAGGAGACTTGCAAGCTTCCTATTTGCCATTGACCTCATCCTCACGAAAACATTCATTGAAAGAACCTAGAAGGTCAAAAACAACTTATCCTTGGACCCTTGGAAGTGATTGTGTTGTTCTAACTTTAACCCACTCCGCTTCTGCACCTCGGGCACGGAATAATTCACTCCTTACAGTGCTTTGAGAGCTGCGAAGGTCTCAGTAACTACGGAGGTCCAAAGGAGTTCCATCCACACCTTCCATTGGCAGTGGCTTGCTACCAAAGCCCCTGCCATGCTGCTTGGTGTTTTCAAGTCATGCACAAAAAGATGAGTCAGGTTCCATCATGTTCCATCCCAAGCAAAGGTGGAAAAATCCAGCGACGCCCTCTTCAACAACCTGCTTTCAGGTGTCGGTGGACTTCTCCAAACATTTCCGGGTCCGGATCGCGAGAAGGCTGGGGGGCGTGGGTCAGGAGAGCGGTCTGGACTAGATCAACGACGCTAGACTAGAAACTGAATACCTTAGGAAATCCTTGGAACAACGCAAAAAAAACAGGTGTTCAATAAGGAACCCCATGTTCCGAAGTACGAACTGAGACTGGTATGCCGGTATGTCTTCAAAAGGGCTCCGCTCCAAGGTGGTTCCCTCTCCGATGGCTTCGGTGCCATCCGCGGTGCCAAGGCGCTTTCGGACAAGACCTTCGGCGTTTCCGGCCACTGCGGTGCCTCGTCTGAGGCCGAGACGCCGAAAGGATGGGCGGTCCGACTGGTTGAGGTGCACGACAAGCATCTGATGAATTTACGGTACTATTAAGCATCCCTTGCACAACAAAAAAGATAGGTCCCGTCCCACAGGCAAACAGCTGGTTTTGATGTCGCGGCTTGTGTAGCGTTTTGTAGTGGTCGCACACCACAAAAGAATATACATGCAATTATGGTTAGTTGGAAAGGGAGGGTTTTGGCCAAGTCCTCCACTCCTCCACGGTAATGAATGCTCACCGAAGTCTCCACCCGCCCAGTTGGGACTGGGAAACAACACTCTGTCATTCTCATCATCAGCATCGTCATTAGCATTTGCATTAGCTCCTTACAGTCTGTTTCAGAGTAGACGGCACAAAACCGAAGATGTCTTTTGGATGGTGGCCGATATGATCCACTTTTTGGGGGTTCCCAACCCACTATAGCATCACCAGCAGCAGCAGCATCAGCAGCATCAGCATCATCGTCGTCGTCATCGTCATCGTCGTCGTCGTCGTCGTCGTCGTCGTCGTCCCTCCTCCTCCTCCTCCTCCTCATCATCGTCGTCGTCGTCATCGTCATCGTCATCCTCACCCTCACCCTCACCCTCACCCTCATCCTCATCCTCATCCTCATCATCATCATCATCATCATCATCATCATCATCATCTCTTCTTGTTTGCTCGGGAAGCACCAACAAAATCATGATACAACTCTTCTATCCCATTCCACGCCAAGGCTAAGCTTCGATACACCGCCCTGGAAGCATTGAAAAGGAGTGAATGAACAAAGGCCAAGTTCCCTGAGCAGTAGCAAATATTTGTCACGTCCAACAAGAAACAACTGCAAAAGGTCTATGTTCCCTACCCATAGAGAGGTTGCTCTGTCGATAAATCTGATGAATCTAGGGATTCAATGAACCTTATGCTTGGTAACATCCTGACATATCCCTTCTGTCCTGCCTGCCAACCCAAATGCTCCATGAGCGCCTGCGCGCGGGAGTGTGCTCCATGGATCTTTAGATATCTTTAGAAACTGTTGTTTATGTCATGAGACGTTGGATTACATGCTAGACCCAACCTCCAAAAGCATCTACAACTGAATACTTTGCTACTTTTCACAACTGAGACCAGCAACTACATCACCTCGCCTTTCCACGGACCTCCCCACAGCTCTCTCCAGGACCTGTCAGCACCTCGCACCTCTCCAGCACCTCTCCCAGCGCACCTCATCCGGCACCTCTCAGGCGCCTCTCACGCGCCTCTCCTCTCCTCTCCTCTCCTCTCCTCTCCTCTCCTCTCCTCTCC